GAAATAGTACGTGCAAAAATGTTTCTAAGACCTTTCTTTCATGTCCGCTATGATCAGTCAGTAGCTGAAGGACAGAAGTATGTTCTGATATTAGAAAGTAGTGGCTGTCTGAAGACTGCTAGAGTACTAGAACATCTACAGCCCAACTTTCCCAGTTTATTTTGTAGCACTAGAGTTTGACAAATACCTGCAGAAGTAATGAAATGCCACACAGACATATTCACACCTAATAAATTGAGAGCAAAGGAAAAGGTCTTGAAAGCTATTAAGACTTCTGATGAGATTGTATTATCCAGGATAATAAACCAAAAATGTTTCAAGTCAATATCAAAATGGTTGTAGACAGATGTCTTTGTATGTCTGTCATCGTCTTTGCATTCTTTTATGTTTCACAGATCAGAATAAAGTTGCTGAACCCTGGAATAGTATGCTAACTCATGGAACATTTCTGGTATTTTCCTCTAGTGAATGTCTTATCACTGTAAATACTACTGTTCTTACAATTCTGTTTCAAAGTAGAGGTAAAGTGTTATCTGACCAGCATCTTTCCCGAGTACTCAATTCATTGCTACTTACACAAAAAAAGGATTTCACTGTTTTATTTCATACTCAGCTTCAACAGGCATAGACACATGTATTCTTCATTGTACACAATAAAAACAGCATTTAAACTGCAGTAGTAAAAAAACAGAGAAAATATGACACAGTTTATATGAGGCTGTAAAGAAGCCTCACACCTACTACACAGTACTGCAGTAATAATATCCACGCTTCATATACTGTGTTATAGGAAAATGTGAGTTAGTTAAAATAGTCTTTATTTAACCCTCACTTAGTCAAGCCAATTTTTGCAGATCCATAGCAGAGCATTTTCTCAACCTTTTCTGTTGTTTCTCAGTTAATTTTGATAAATAAAATTACTTAGATACTAGAACATTGAACGTTTTTTTATGAAACTATTTATCAAGAGAATGCAGAGTCTCATTTACATGTCATAGATATATTTTGGTCTTCCTACGCTGGTCTGTTTTGCCTGCTAAATTTGTATGTATGCACATTGCTCTTTGCACTTATGAATAAGCCTTTGCTTGCTCTCCCTGTGTGACAGAGGAATGTCCAGTAATTGAAATGTTTCCATTTGATGCGCTATTATAAAATATAATGATTTCAAATGGTCTTCAAACAGAAGCTCTTTAACATGAAGGGTGTCTGTTACTCTAGCATTATGTATTTAAAACTTGCATTCAGAGCAATCTGTCTGTTCTAATTGAAGTAAGACTTGATGAAAGACTTGCTGTAACCAAGTAAGACTTGATACCAGAACTGGATCATGTTTATACTAAATTTAATTTTATTATATTAGTGATAATTCAGTTAGAGCAAAGAGAAGATTCTGTAAATCTCTCTCAGAGTTAGAGTGATGAAATGACAGGACTATAAATAAGCCATCCACCCAACGGTGTACGAATATCCAGGTAGCTGTATTTCCCATCACAGCACTTTTGTATAAATATGGAATCATTAGAAAAATGATACTATCCATTCAATGTTACACCACATGGAACAATTTATAACCTAGTCACTGTTCATTGTTCCCCTCTATAACTACACATAAACAAAGAATAATGATTCCTTTCTTTTTGAACTTCTGAAATATATTTCAGATGTTTATATATTTCAGTACATAAGTGTATATTATTTCATATATATATATATATTTCATTTTTTCCTAATGCAGATTTGTGTAGAAGCTAATGTTTATTTTGTTCAAAAGCTTCATAGATTATTTTGGATAGCAAAATTTTGAGAATGACAAAGAATAACGTGTTTCTGTTAGAGATTATGACAAGGGGTGTGGATCTCTGAAGAACTGACCAGACTCTAAAATGAGGTGTAGTCCATTTTTCAAAGCAACTGACTTCTTATGAACACTGAGGGAGATTTCTAGGTCTCCAATGATTTTAAAGGTCACACATCTTACTAGGAGCTTAAAGATAGGTGAAGAACACAAATTCAGGCTGCTCCTTATGAAAATCTCGTTACCTGTCTTTGTATGTGAAATTCTCCTCTTGCGAATAATAGCCAACCAATTCAATTCCCTTTCTCTTGACAATTTTAAGACAAACCTTGTGACCACACCCAAACAGCTCTGGGTATGGCTTCTGAATTACCACTGGAGTTATCTACAAATTCATACTAACAAACACCTATGGAGGTCATCTGTAGAACACAGAACTGTGCAGATTTGCTAAAATCATTATGTTTCTGTAAATTGTCAGAGTGTAATTTCATGCATCTGGTTTTCATACATCACAACATTTTACAATTGAGGTACTTTTCCAAGATAGAAACAGATTACATAATTTAATAGTTTAGCTGGGAAAGAACCTGAAAAGTGCCCGAGAGATTTAAATTAGTACCTAAATCATATCAGTGGGACTGCATCCTTCCCACTTCACAATAGTGCATTGTTCAGTAAGAGCAGAATGGAGTTTTAGGTATGTATCCAATCAAAAGTCTAAATAAAAATGTCTTGAACACATCTTTTTTAATCTGTTGTGTACAATATCTCTAACAGTGATTACACACAATTCAGATGTATCAGAATCACAGAATGGTTTGGGTTGGAAGGGACCTTAAAGATCATCGAGTTCCAACCCCCCTGCCATGGGCAGGGACACCTCCCACTAGCCCAGGCTGCTCAAAGCCTCATCCAGCCTGGCCTTGAACCCCTCCAGGGATGGGGCATCCACAGCTTCTCTGGGCAGCCTGGGCCACTGCCTCACCACCCTCACAGGAAAAAATTTCTTCCTAATAGCTAATCTAAATCTACCCTCTTTCAGCTTAAAACTGTTACCCCTTGTCCTGTCACTACACTCCCTGATAAAGAGTGTTTTTCCATCTCTCCTGTAAGATGTAAACATGTAAAATATGTTTCCATGTAAACGGATGTGAAGTAATGATGCCATTTAAAATACTAATTGCAAATGGAGACTGAAAGACCTTGTAGACCTTTCATGCAGAATGAGATAGTCTAACTTTGTGATACTATCATCATATGGTCACAATGTGAGCAGAAATGTTCTCACTTGAATTTAAATGCTTATACAGCACAAAAAATAGGAGTACAGTATTTCAGACTCTAATTTCCTTTGTAATGCATAAAATGCTTTCCTCAAGAAGATTAATTCTAGGATTTCTCACCCTCTATGGTGCCTTGCAATGAATATCCATTTTACTTTCATTGTTCATTAAGTCTATACTTAAAAAGGTACTGCAGAACTAATTTAAGCTACTTTGGTAGTATTTTAATATTTGAGTCTTATATGAAGTGGAGTATTTACATCTTTCAATTTATACTCGTTTTACAACACATTCTTTGGAGACGTTTTTGCTGGCCTCTCTCACCAAATTTTTCTCTTTTCCAAGTATCCTCAGCAGGTTCTCAGCTCTAACAGCATCTATTCATGCAGGTATCTTTACCTGTGTCAGTGCTGGGAAAGTATAAAGATGGATGAAAAGTTCAGGGTGTATCCGTGTTAGGTGCACTGTGCCAGTACAGAGATACTGGAACACCCTCTGTGCAAAACATTCCAGTGTAAGTGCAGTTATACTAACAGAGCTTCTGTAGGCAGTCAGACCAAAATCTACTGGTGGTGTAAATGTCACCAATGAAAGCGTGATTTTTGTCAGTGTACATAATGGTCTTTTCCCAGAAATTTGGTTTTGTAGATCTACATCTAGTTTCCTGTGAATGACTTAACTCTTACTGACATCTTGTTCGTAAAAGATGAAGGTGGGGAAGTTTCCATAATTCTCTGGCCAACAGTTTCAGTAATGGGAATGTACTGTAATATTAAAATGCTGTAACAGAGCTGGGAAACAGAATGCTCCTTCAGCTTGGTGGAATTTTATACCATCCTCAAATGCAAGGCTGTGGCTAGAAATCACGATCTAGCCACAAATAATTCTATTATATTGCTTGTTTGGTGGCATTTACTTGGAAGGAGGTTGCTTCTTTTCCTTACACTAAAGCAGATTTGTTCTCTGGGGCTGAAGGAGGTCAAAAATCATGCATGTGCTGAAGCTGTAGAGAAAGTCTGTAGAGAATTGAGTAAGGACCCAACGGTTTGGCTGCCTTAACTCAAAGCTCTCACCAATTGCACGAAGTCAACATAAATACTCCCTGACTTCACTGACATTACATATCCTCCCTGCCCTTCACAGACTGAATTGCCACCAACTAGGACAGAAAATTTTTCATTTTAAGACTTTTGCCGTTGTACCTAGCGTCAGGGTAGCTAGTTGGTGACCTCAAGAAAAGTCACTGGAAGTTGGGGTTTTTTTCCACAACACATCTTGCTGGTGCTTTAACCCAGTTTTAAAGAGTAGCAGGTGGGTTTCCACCTCTTGCTTTGAAGGGCACTTTTGTAGCCCAGAATTCTGGAAAAGGTAGATATTGTGCACATTCAAAGCACAAAAGCAATCCCCAGCTTGGTTAGAAGGGTAGACATATGAGGGTTAAAATTTATAACAAAGCAAACAGAAAAAGTGCCTGGATTTTCCTATCCATGGAGCACCAAGCTGTCTCCATATTACTGCAGTCAGATGCGTGTCAGGAGATTGCATGGGATAGTTGATATGGGCAATAGTTATAACAGTGTTTAAGGATTTAAAGAAACAACTCCAATTATATGTTGCAACTGTATCTTTTTATTATTATTATTACTGTTAGTTAATATAGTATTGCTCATATATATGATATTATACATATTCTATATATTATATATAATATGCATATTCTATATATTATTCCTTACTTTAGATTATTCTATTTTTTTCCTTAATGTGTATGTAACATGGGCAAGCTGTCCACTGCAAGATCATAGCTTGTCCTACAAGTATGTATGTTCCCTAGTTTTTAAGTCATTATGTAAATGTGTGCAAGTGCAGCATTGTTACATTTCTTTTCACTTGATGGAAGAAATCGTATAATACAATAAACAGTTCTCAGAATCTGTTGTTTTGAAGACTTGGCTCAGTACTTGCAGATGTATATCTGAGCCTTGTGAAACTCTGAAAGTAACATCAGTGAATTCCTATGTAGATCCATAAGGAATGGAAAAGTGAGTGAACACATTTCTCAGCAGCTCGTGAGACTTCTCAGACACTTAAAAAAACCCAAGTCTTACATTTTACATTGTTTTACAGTCCTGTGCATAGACCAAATAGCTAAAAACTATTATTCTGATAACATAAAATACTAGAAAAGTAATAGAATATGCTCTGTCCAAAATTAAGGGAAATGCCCAGGTAAGGTTTGCTGAAGTGGATGTGACATGTTTAAAGTTATCCATGAATTCCAGTATTTTCCTAAAGCACGACAACTATGCACAGTCCTTGTTTCCTTTGACTGTTTAAAAGCACATTTTTTCAAAAAGATTTACAAAACAAATGGACAACCAAATGTAATTATTCATTCTGTTTATGTTTGATCAGTGTTATGTTATCCTTTATTAGCTCGTATTGTGATAGGTAATTCTTTGCACATGTTCATTCCTGGGTTACAGCAGGGTAAAAATAGCTCTTTAACAAGATAGAAACCAGCCAATACAAAATAACCCTATAAATTTAAATTAGTGAAAACATGACTCACCTCTAGATGGTTGCATCTTTGCTGAGTTTGCAGTGATCCAAGTAGATAATTCATGGCAACTGCTTTTGCTTAGTTTTAGGAACCATGAAAATTAATGGCCCATATAAGAAATACTGATCTCCTAAGACAATGCCTCCTCTCATTTTCTCTGTTAATACATATGTAACATGTCAATCACACAAAAAGTAGATTTTACTAATTTTTTTTTTCTTTTTTTTAGGCCACAGTATGGTGGCAAATTCTGCCAAGGTTCAAGTCGTATTTATCAACTTTGTAATAATCAGCCATGTCCAGCAAATAGTTTGGACTTCCGTGCCCAGCAGTGTGCAGAATACAACAGCAAACCTTTCCGGGGATGGTACTACAAATGGAAGCCATATACTAAAGTGGAAGGTAATTATGGCACAGCTCTGATGGACAAAGACAATTGCAGGAAGCGAGCTATAAGCTGTAAATCATCTGTATTCTTTGAGCAAATATCACCCTGATGTAAGCAAATAGAAATTCAGTTGGCTTATTTCAGATATGTTTGCTTTCTAGCATGGTTGAATCCAGCCTCCTGTGTGATACTGCCTGTATGAACATGCAGAATTGATTTTGGTTGTGAATTTAAATCTTTGTCCTTAGCGTGACTCCCTGGCTGTTGCTACCCCCCTCTTTCATTTTATATTACATATCTGTTATTGTAAAAACAGAACAAAACAATTTCTGTGGATTTTTCAGCATGGGAAATGTGAACACCCACAAGAACACTACCAGAATCTTCCTTCCTTTGGAATGTTCTCAGATTTCGAAACGTAACAATAAATCAACCTTTTGACTTTTCTGCTGGTATAGTCCCATGAGAACTGGAAAAACAAACAATGTCCTGGCATAAATTTTTTAAAGTAATCTTTTACTGAGAGATCTTCATAAAGTTCAGGTCTCAATAACTATTTCTTATCTTTTGCACAAGCAAAGTTTATTTTTATTTACGCATCTTAATTTTTCAAATAGTTGAATCAGTACTCATTTTTGTCTGATACAACAAATATTTTCTGCAGTTTGAAAGCACAGTCTGTAAGTGCAATTGCTACTACTTAAATAAAAGTGACTGGATTATGTCACATTGTAGCTGCTTTGTTTAGCACCTGTAGAAACTTGCTATTGACGATAATAAGTGTATAATTATATATATGTATACATACACACAAAACTTTCATTCATAGCTTGATTATATTTTCTTCAAAAGACTCTACAGACATCTTCAAGGGTCTTTAGAAACCTATGTCTTAACAGCCATTATGAACAGAGGAAAGAGGAAACATGCTTTCACAGCATGTAACAATGGAAGTTGTATAATAGGGAGAATAATGTGTCTGGTTTAATAGAAAATAAGGCAGCCTACGCTGGTTTTAAAGGTAGGGTCTGCGTTTAGTAAAATAAATAGGAGCTTAAAATTAGGGACAAATGGCATAATTTTCAAAAGCAAGATGTCCCCAGGTGACTCTGAACTTGAAAATGCCTGTCCTTACTTTCTTAGCTGCTTTGCTAAATCTCCTCCAAAATCTACATTTATATTTCTGAAAACATGATCTGGTTTTCAAAATTGCTGCACATTCCTTGCCTCTCTAGAAAGTAGTATTGAAAATCCAGAGGCATATTTAAGAATAGAAGGATACTATTTTGAATACAATTTCATATTCTTCAAAATTTTGTTCTGCTGTTTTATTTGTTGCACTATTTATATTAAAATGGTGTATTTCAGCAATTATGACAATATTTACAATTGCATGACTTTGTCGATGTACAACTATTCAGCCCTTTATAAGCATAAGATAGTATCTGTGTATAAGAAGACATTTGATTGATTTGATTGGTTGGGATTTTTTAGAGAAAAAGTGCTTTTGTTAGGGGAGAATCTGTCCCCAGCCCTAGCTTTCAGATGAACTGAGCATTTGCGCCATCTTATATATTTTTCAAATTATAACTAAAAATTAAATAAGATTATTACAATCTCCTATTTCTCTTAATAAAAAATGAAATTTGAAACTGTGGACCAGTGGAACTGAAATCAGGGTCACACCAGCAGAGCTAATGCAATGTGCATCTTTTCACATTGGTTTTGAATTCTTAATTCTATGTGTGGACAGTCAAACCCACATGTTCTTGTAAAACAGCATAATATAAGCTACTGTATTTGGCTATATTTCTGCCCATCTTGAGATCCTAATATATCACTACACGCAATTAATCCTTGTAGCTTGTCATCTAGGATGCAGAAAGAAACAATAGCAGGGTGCTTTTGTTTGTTTGTTTGTTTTTTAAACTGTGCTGCAGGTCTGCTAATACTTTCTTGTCTTGTTTTTTGGTTGTGGTTTTTTTTTTTCTTTCCCCCAGAGGAAGATAGATGTAAATTGTACTGCACAGCTGAAGACTTCGACTTTTTCTTTGCAATGTCCAGCAAAGTGAAGGATGGAACCCTGTGTTCTCCAAATAAATTTGATGTTTGCATTGATGGAATATGTGAAGTAAGATAAAATTAATTACAATCCTAATGTCTATTTTTTAAGTGGGCAATTGACTTCTTTATGGAAAATGCAGCTGTTTCTTCAAATTCCCTTGTGTCTGAGTCCTTCACGTGTGCCTTTTGGTTGCAGCAAGTAGGGTGTGATCATGGACTTGGTTCCAAAGCTGTACTGGATGCTTGTGGAGTTTGTAAAGGAGATAATTCAACATGCAAGTTCTTTAAAGGCCAATACTTGATCCAGCACAAGGCTAATGGTAAGGAAAGCTGTTCCACATGATCATCAAGTCATTGCTCTGCTGTATCCCCATGTAATATATATGACTCCTTGCTCATTAGGGCAGTGGCTGAAAGTCCAGATGTGAACTGAAAATCACAGGGAGAGTGAGAGAAGAGTTCACATTTCTCCTGTTTCTTGGTAACAAGAAAGCTATGAGTATAAGTCTTGGTTAGTTAATTTGCAAGCATTCCTCTTGTTTCTTAAGCCACATTTTCCCTTTACATGTGAATTTCCTCTTAAAAGAGATTTGGGGATTCAGGCAAGTGAAAAAATAGCTGTCAACAGCTCTGACCGGAATGGGACTGTAGAAGATATAAAAAGCAATACATAGCGTAATGCCAAACATGACAGTATTTCCATGTCCATTTTCAAATTAAGTTGACTGGAAGCTCTCCAGTTGATCCAGTGGATGATCTAGTCACTGGGAGGTGGATTTTGCTTTAGTGGACTGTCACAGGCTTCTTGTGAAACAATCTCACTATGCCTCTTCCTCAGGCGTAAAACCCAAATAATGTTTCTGAGGATCCATTTATTATTGATCATAAGATGTGTCAATACTACAGTAATATAGGCCAAGGGATTGTTTAGGATATAGTAATACAGATACAGTGCTAGAAGAATAATCTAAACTGTATGCTCTGCAAAATTAGCTGTGTACAGTGCGTGTTGGAGATTGTCAGCGGTGTCTCATCTGATGGTAGAATGAGTGAGATTTCTATACACTCAGAGTGCAATGGCTCACAGCAGGGAGATCCAGTGGTATACAGGGCTTTGTGAAAGCTCTCTGCATCCCAGTGCATCTCACCTCAAAAACCTTGTCCATGATGGCAGTAGTACCTTCCAACTACCCTAGGGAACTACAGGGAAAACAATTACAGTGAAATCACCTTTATCTGTTCTGCGTTTATCTCAGGTGAACTTGCTTTTTCTTGTTTTTAATCATAAAGAAAAATTCCAAGAATTGAAATATCGCTGAGTTACTCTGATTACAGGCTGCATTACAGGGGTTAAAACCAGAACTGGTTTCTCCTTGTGAAAACAGAGTAATTTTGGTGGATCAGAACAGCTGTCTTAATATCTTTTGAACTGCAAAAATTTCAAATTGGCTCAAAAATGATAAGCTATCTCTGTCTGTATGACAACTGCAAAAATGTTGCTTCCTTCTTTCATTTCAGACTACTATGCCGTGGTGACTATTCCAGCAGGAGCACGCAGTATACAGCTCCACGAAATGCAGATCTCAACCAGCTACCTTGCAGTGCGCAACCTCGGTAAAAAGTATTATCTAACAGGAGACTGGACAATCGACTGGCCAGGAAAGTTCTCTTTTGCTGGAACCGTTTTTGATTATCAACGCTCTTTTAACCATCCAGAGAGCCTATATGCACCAGGACCGACTAATGAGACGCTGGTCTTTGAAGTAAGCTTTCTTCTGTTTATTCTTCCCTTGATGTCTATTACAGAATTAGTAACGACAGCTTTAGCTCTGCACTGTAGCTCTCAGTGAGATTAAAGAATAGCGTTGAGTCACGATAGTAATCAGACTTAATTGTGTGGTCATGCTAGATTGAAAGGCCTTTCACTAGTTTATCAGGGTCTGGAGTTTAGTAAACTGTCACAAATTCAGTGAAAAGGAAGGTGCATAAAACACACCATACGGCATTATTTCTCAGTTGGTGCACAATGGTAATGGAGATTATAAACACATCCTGTAAATGGTGTACAATAAAATTCAGTGATGTAAAAATTAAACCTAACATTATGTCAAGGCTTAATGGTAACAGTTTCAAATAATGCTTCTGAAACTGCAGCACATATTTATATCTACCCTGGGACACAGATGGTCGAAGTACTACACACAGGCTCCTGTGTAATTTCTGTTGATTCAGTTTTATTTGTAATAGCATCTAAAATAATGAATTTTATGTATATTTATCTCCCAGTCAAATTTGTATCCCCTACTCTGTCTGCCAGATGTCCTGTGTTGAAACTATATTGAGTAGAAAACCTACAGGGTTTGTTCCAGTGCAACAATTTTGGAATTGGCCAGCAATACGACTATTCTAAGAAAAATCTCTTTCTGCATTAGCTTTCTTGACTAGATTTTCTTTTAAAGTGCATCAGAACATCAGAGGGTCAGTTTCTGGCTGAGTCACCACAGTCTGTACTCCCTGTTAGCTGCATGAGTTTGCCTGCTTTGTTAGGAAGCTCCAGCAAATCCTTGGCTTTGTAACTCATCTGTTATGTCTGTTTTGATGAGTCCTTCCCTGTGAGAAGGAAGGAGCCCTCCCCAGAAGAGATTCGCTTCCTTCCCACACCTTCCAGCCATGCTCTGGTGAGCTCACTGTCGAACGCGTGGCTTTCTCTGGCCTGCACTCAGGGAGCAGCAGAGCGAGTGCTGCCCACATTCTCCGAGGCAGCAATCTGTGGTTCTTCATCCCATCATATAACACTGGAACTGGAAACTGCTCCCTGCAGGAGTTTAGCAGGAGTGGTTAGCTGAGAACTCCGCATCCCATCTCCCTTATGCAGCTTTGTTCTGTTAAAGTAAGAAACATGGGAAGTATAGACTGTGACATGAAATATATTCTGAAAGGATTATTAAAACTTTCACAACTATTCAGTAAAGGTTTTATTTGGAATACTGAAGAGCTTTGCTGCTATTTATACGTACTTAGGTCTATCTTTAAGAACCACTGAAGTTCATGGACCATGAACACATGTTGAAGTACTTTAGGATGAACTCATGTTTTAGACCGGACAGTTTGACATGGGCTAAGGGCGTGTATTTTCACAAATTACTATCACAATTTGCAATGCCTTTTTAAAACATTTTTTTCTCAGTTGAAGAATTTTCGTTTTGGGTACGTATGTTAATAGGAATGCCTTAGTCCAAGGGAGAGTTTTGTCTACAAGTTACAGACACGCTTCCCTGTCTGCAAATCACCTTCAAAATAGCCTCACACCAAAGAAAAAAGCACACTTATAAATACTATGAAATGCTAAGCTGAACTCTTAGGAATCTTATTTGTTGCAATACAAAGTAGATTGAACTGTATTATTATAGAGCTAAGGTATGAATAATAAACTGCCTGCAAGATGGCTTACTTGGCTGCATATCATGCACATACTTTGCAGAATAAAGATTAAAGAAAAAAAATTTAATGCCAAATAACACTTCTATTTTCATTCTATCAAATTATGCTAAACTGTTTTATTAAGATTTACCATTTAACTGGAGGCTATTGCTCCTATGAGAGCTTATTTAAACTTCCCTTGTATTTTTACTGCAATACCTACACCACTGGCATTGGTAACTAGGGATTCTAACAACTGAAAATGCTACAGTTATGTATTCCCCAATTATATATATCTATGAACTGTAGTTAAGATTTTTTTCAATAATTTAAGCAACATTCAGCAAGCTGAATGCTGAAAAAAAATGCAAAATTTTGTTCACACATTTGCATTATTTATGATTTACCAATAACTCAAAGCAGCAAAAATGGCAATGAAAGCTAAAGAAATAAGCTTTCATGAGAAAACACACATATTGCTGAAGGTCTGTTTGCAGAAGTAATAGTGAAACAAATCCTACTTCAACTATAAATACCAGAAACTGACAGAAGGCTGAAAAAAAGGAATGTTTAAGTATACTACATTGTAGCTTTGTTTTTATTTTTATCTCATCTCAAAAAAGTCCTGATGGAAAATTTTTATCCAATTAAGTTGGTTTTCAGCAAGATAAGACTTTCCAGGGTTTGTAACTCAACTTCTTCCTGTAATATTTAGGTATTTCTTTGTTCATTTTATAATTAGATCATATTCAAAAGAAATTTAATACTTATTTTCTAGATTAGTTTTTTTCCCCACAAGAAAGTGCAAGCCCTTATAAAAATGCACACTGCAGGTATTGAGAAATTGAATAAATTGCATGCATAAGTATAGGAACTTTTATTCTTCAGGTGGCCAGAAAATATGAGGTTTTGTAGGTGTATTTATTGCCATTCCACTATGATCAACAGAGCTTGTGCCTGTTTAATTTTGTAGTCATAGTTTTGCTAGACATTTGTGTGGTGACCCAAAAGGTCCACATTTTTGACTGCATTTCTGACCAGAAGGTTCAGGTTATGCATGGCCTCTGAGCAACATTCACAGGAGAGGACGGGACCAGCGCTCTCAAGGTATAGGTCCAGACAGGTCTGGCAAGTCTGTGCTCAAGGCAATTGCTTCCTTTGAAATGCAGTCGTTCTCCAAAATATTTTCTTGAAAGAGACATCTGAAGCATTTATTAAGAGAGAAGGATAAAACTCAAATAAGAAAAAAAAAAATCTTAAAATTCCCCATTGTCTTGCATATCACAAGTTCAGCCTTGCAGTTATACTAAATGTTTTGTATTTATAGCTTGTTTTACAGTGTGTTCCTATGCCTGTATTTTCCTATTAGGTTTTTCAGTAGTTCAGCTGAGCATGTATCATTTAATCAGACTTTGCAGTCATAAGCACTATTCAAAAATGGGTAAGAGACAAGAAAAAGACTGATAAAGTGCTCTTCTTATTTACCCTGGAATTTCACAAAAAAATAAATACACACATATATATTTACATATATTATATGTATGTAATTATGGGAACCAGTCATACCAAAGAAGACAAAGGGCAGCGAGTCTGTAATTTAACTAGGTTGTGGGAGAAAAAATACAAATTAGAGTGGCCAAATATTTTCTGAGGAGGAGGAGAACATTGTGAGATGAATGTGGAACTACTGGAAGTGTAAATGCGTGATGAGATTTTAGAATTCCTCAGAACCGTTTCTGGATAGTTCAGGAATTCATTTAACAGATGGAGGGAAGGCAGGGGAGATAACCCAGTAATCTAGTGCCCTTCAGAATTTGTGTGTCTGTATCCTTCTGAAGTTGCAATTAGTGTTACTGATACTTCGGTGATTGTGGGTTTGTAGAAACCAATAGAAACCAAAATGAAAAAATATTCATGGATTCAGAAGGCAGTTCCCAAAATGGTCAGTTTCAGTCTCCATGAAATAACAGACAAAGGTCAAAGTGGTAGAAATATGATAGTTAAATGATAATCCAGGATCAGAAATTAATACCAGGTTTTTAAAATATGGTTTTTGTAGCATAATTGTCTCATCTTAAATGGAAACATGCTGGATTTTTTTAATGTCATTGAATATATTCAGCTTATTTATCTGTTATTTGGTCACAGGTAACCTAAGCTCAGCACTTTCAATTTAAAAACCCTGTCAGTGTTTTTCTGTTAACTGAAAAATACTGAAATTGAGGAGAAACAAACAGTAAATTAATCATTCGTTTATCTAGCTTTGTAAATAAGGGCTGCCAGTGGGCACCACTAACTGCTGAAAAGACTTTCCAGAAGAGGCTAGCAGAGCACAGGGGACATTGCCATCACAGGACTCCTGACACCCATTTGTGGAAATATTCAGTCACCCTCCACGACTGACTCAAATTACAGGAAAGATTCTGAAAGGGCAAAAGAAACTGAACTGTTATGTGGGCATGAAAAACATTGCGTGGCCAGGGATTGATAAACTAACTTTAAAAAATGAGAGTTTAATAATTTGGCTTTCCATTCTATCAATAAATGGATGAGGAATTGACTGATTTGGGAACTCAAAGCCAATTTGAGAAAGCACTGTAAAGTTTTTCAGGATGAGATAGGATCAGTACACTCACTGAAGTTTACCTCAAACTTAGTGAAATATTGAATTGAGGAACTGTGAAATTTTGTTTAAAAAGATAGTTTATTTTGACAGCAATAATTAAGAGATGGAAAGGATGCTTTGCAACGAGGCAGATATTCACAGGAAGAGAAGGTGAATGGAGCTTCAAAGTACGAATATGTCTAATTAAGATGAGTAAATCACTTTATCAATGGGGGAAAAAAGAGAAAGGAGGCCAGGTGGAATGACTTTACCAGTGATCTAGCTACCACTGGGAGAAAGCCAAGTTGCAGTTATAAAGCATTACATTTATTATTAGCTACTAGATGATAAATTTGTACTGATTTCCCCTGAAGAGAAAGTAAGCTAGAGAGCTAAGATGTGCTTATAAGATACAGATGTTGATTCAATACAATGGATAAAAGGGCTCTCCTTTAGTGAGGAGAGATTAGCTGGACAGTATCCCTGAAGGTTGTACATTCAGCATGTGAACAGTAAAAACATGGAGACACAATAACAACAGAATACAAATTTGAAACAGCTGAAGTAGAAATGAGATCATACAGGACCTTTCAAGGATACTCTCTGTTTTTTTTCCCCCTTCCTTTTAATGACCTTAGTGGACTTTCTTGAAAAACAATAGTTTGTCATAAGCTTTTAGTTAAGATAGTGTTTAAAGTGATTTAGAAATATTGAAGAGATAAAACCCCTTTTGTTTTA